AATTAGGGGGGTACACGTGCTCGAAACGGGCCAGCAAGGGTGCAGGAGAGCCCATCTTTAGAAGCCCCGCCTCAAGAACAATCAGTAAATGTGAACCCAAATCCGGTAATAGGAGTTCCCCCACTAAGTCCACCAGGAGCAAAACTTGATGCTCTGGGAGTACCTAATATGGCCTCGATGGTGGGAGTGATGCAATCCTTGGCATAGACAGCTGGGCAAATGGCACAACTGATCCTGACCTTAGTGCAAAATACTAGACAGACGACTCAACACAACTAAGGGGACGCCGACATGATAGAAGAAAGCAAGTATTTTAGAGCTTTCAAACGTTGGGACCCTAAAGTATTTCAGAGAAAGTCCAAGGATCCAGTCGTAGCTGAATTATGGTTGTCTTCTATTGATGAAATTTTTCGACGCATGAAGTGTGCAGAAGAACAGAGACTGAGTGCGTGACTTACCTGTTACGCAATGATGCTAACTGTGGTGGCAATCAGCCTCCAGGGCGATTGCTGCAAATGAAGACGATATCACCTGGACACAATTTAGAGGAGCATTCCTCCGAAAATACTTCAAACAGTGGTACGATACAGGAAGTAGTGTGAATTTCTAAGCATAGAGTAAGGAAACAGGTTAGTAAAGCAGTATGAACGAGAGTTTATCTGCTTGTCCCATTTCGCCCCAATAATGATTGCAATAGAAGAGCAGAAGGTAGAATGTTTCATTATAGGCTTGAGGTCATGTGTTCGAGGAGCGGTGTCAACTCACCTCCCACTTGATTATGCAACAACACTCCAACTGGCCGAGATGCTCGATGATAGGGAGTATCCGACTGAAGACACACAAACCCACTTAGACACGACAGTTTTCCATAAGAGAAAGAGGGAACATACATCACCTACCTCCTCAAAGGTACCACGACACTAGTGTTAGGATCGCACAACAACGCACACACTCGATCTAGATGAACACAAAGAACAGGGTAGAGAAAATTGCAAGGAGAACTCTGGCTAAAAGAATTTGTATTGATGAATATGTATAAGAGAGAATACAGAGAATAGAAAGTACATTTTCAAAGCTCTACCGGACGGGATATATATATAGTTCAGTTTACTATATATAGCTTTACCAGATTTAACCATCTACTATATATAGCTATTTACCATATATAGCTTTACTGGATATAACCGTTAACCAAGCTATAAATAAGAGAGCAGACTCCATAACCTAACAATTCTCCCATTTGGAGACTGATCCAGTCAACCAAGAATTTCATTCTCAAGCGATCACTACACCATACCAATTAAGGCTTTGCATAACCTTAATTTTCCAACATCAACACATTTTGTCAACATGTCTGCAGGATTCTTTGCACCCTCTATCTTCTTCAAACACATATCGCTTTCTTCCACTAACCTGCGGTGAAATGGTATCGCCTTCTAACATGTTTTGTCCTTGAATGATAGACTGGGTTTTTCATCAACTGTATGACACTCTGACTATCTGTATAAAGGATCTTCTTGCACTGCTTCCTGCCTAATTCTTCTAGATAGTTTGTCATCCATATCATCTCTTTTCTAGCTTCAGCTATTGTCACGTACTCAGCTTCAGTAGATGAAAGAGCAACGCATTTCTGAAGCTTGAACATCCAACTCACTGCTGTTCCATCTATAGTATAGATATATCCAGATGTGCTCTTGCTAGAGTCTACATCTCCACTAAGATCAGCATCCACAAAACCTTGCAGAACTACTTTGTCATTGCCATAACAAAGTGAAGTATTGGATGTACCTCTCAGATATCTCAGAAGCCACTTCACAGTTTCTCAATGTTCTTTTCCTGGATTTGCCATGTACTTGCTAACAACTCCCACTGCATGTGTTATGTCAGGTCTAGTGCAGACCATAGCATACATCAAACTTCCAACTGCAGAAGCATACGAAACTGATGTCATGTGCTCACATTCCTCAACTGTCTTGGGAGATTGCCCCTTTGACAATTTAATATGATTTGCCAAGGGGGTAGTCTTGGGTTTAGCGTCATTCATCTTGAATTTGGACAATATCTTCTCAATGTACTACTCTTGAGATAGATTTAATGTGCCAGCAGATCTATCTCGAGAAATCCTCATCTCAAGAATCTGCTTCGCTGCACCCAAATCTTTCATCTCAAATACTGAAGACAACCTTGCCTTCAGGTGGTTTATCTCTCTCATACTTGATCCAGCAATTAGTATATCATCCACACACAGGAGTAGAAACACATAAGAATCAATGTATTTCTTGAAGTAGCAACACTGATCCTTTTCACTCCTGTGGAAACCACTTTTTCTCATGAAGAAGTCAAACTTCTTGTACCATTGTCTCGGTGGTTGTTTCAGTCCATACAAGTTCTTATTGAGCTTACACACCATGTGCTCCTTGCCTGGAGCTGCAAACCCTTCTGGTTGTTGCATATAGATCTCCTCATCTAGATCTCCATGTAAAAATGTCGTTTTTACATCCATTTGCTCAAGGTGCAAATTCTCCGATGCAACAATACTCAGCAGAATTCGGATAGTAGTTAATTTCACAACTGGAGAAAAGATCTCGGCATAATCAATGCCTTTTCTTTGTGAATATTCTTTAATTACTAACCGAGCCTTAAACCTCCTTCTGCCATCTGGTTCATCTTTGATTCTGAACACCCATTTGTTCAACAGAGCTCTCTTTCCTGTGGCAACTCAGTCAGCACCCACGTATTATTCTTTTCAAGTGAGCTCATCTCATCATGATGGCTTGCTCCCACTTGGTTGAATCTTCCACTTGTAGGGTCCCATCAAAGGACTTTGGTTCTTCTTTGTCAGTCAGCAACAGATAATGTAATGGGGCTGAATATCTATCTAGTGCTCTGGTAGTTCTAGATGATCTTCTCAACACTTGCTCAGGTGCAACTTGCTCCATGTCTGGTTCTTCAGCAATAGGATCAGGAGTTTCTTGAGCTTCTATTGTACCATCACTGCGTGAATTTTTCTGCCACTCAAGTTCAACTCCCACTTGCTTTGTAGTCTTAGAGTTTATCTTCTCTCTGTCTTTGTATATGACATTTTCATCGAAAGTCACATCACAGTGTCTTAGGATTTTCATATTTTTCTCATCCCAAAACCTGTACCCGATCATGTCAGAGCCATAGCCTATGAAGTAGCATTTCAAAGCCTTAGCATCAAGCTTATCTCTCTTCTCTAGATCAACATGAACATACACAGTACAACCAAAGGTTCTCAAGTGAGAGTACTTAAGTTCTTTTTCTGTCCATACTTCTTCGGGCAATTTGAATTTCAAGGGTACTAACGGTCCTCTATTAATCAAATATGCTGATGTGTTCACAGCATCAGCCCAGAATGTCTTTGGAAGTCCAGAATGAATCCTCATGCTTGCTCGCTCATTCAATGTTCTGTTCATCCTTTCTGCAATACCATTTTGTCTTGCCTTACCGGGAATTGTTCTTATTAATCTAATTCTCTCAGCTGCACAAAATGTTATAAACTCTGATTTGTTGTACTCTCCTCCATTCTCAGACCTCAGGCATTTAATCTTCAAGCCGGTCTGATTTTCAACTTCAGCTTTCCACTTCTTGAAGGTGGTGAACACATCTTACTTGTGTTTCAGAAAGTAAACCTATACCTTCCTGCTGAAGTCATCGATGAAGGTGTCGTAGTACCTTGATCCACCAAGGTTCGTCTACCACTGTGGTCGTCAACCAAAATGGATTAGCACGTCTGAATTCAGATGAGAAGGCTGTGGGTTCTCGACTCCGACTGTTGTCGTCAACCTAAACCTAGAACATCGTTTGTAGGGGGATGATTCAATAACTTGCAAGAACCATTTTTTGAGTATTTTGTTCAAAATATATTCTTAGTTTTAAATGGTCATATGAACACCCATATTTGTAAACCTTAAAAAATTACTGCATAGCGCATGGATTAGCATGTCTGACTTTGAATTAGAAGGTCGTGGGTTCGACTACCATTGTGGTCGTCAACCAAAACCTAGAACATCATTTGTATAGGGGATGATTCAATAACTTGTAAGAATAATTTTTGGAGTAATTTGTTCAAAATATATTCTTAGTTTTAGATGGTCATATGAACATAGCATATTTTTAAACCTTAAAAAATGACTACATAGCGTAGTAGATTAGTGTGTCTGACATGGATCAAAAGGTTGTGGGTTCGACTCTTACTGTGGTTGTCAACAAAAACCTAGAACATCATTTGTATGGGGGATGATTCAATAACTTGTAAGAATCATTTTTGGAGTAATTTGTTCAAAAAATATTCTTAGTTTTAGATGGTCATATGAACACCCATATTTGTAAACCTTTAAAAATCACTGCTTCGTGTAGTGGATTAACGCGTTTGACTTTGGATCAAAAGGTAATGGGTTCAACCTTTTTGGAGTAATTTGTTCAAAATATATTCTTAGTTTTAGTTGGTCATATGAACACCCATTTTGTTAACCTTAAAAAATGGTTGCATAGCGGATTGGATTAGCGCGTCTGACTTCGGTTCAAAAGGTCGTGGGTTTGACAACCACTGTGGCCATCAACAAAAACCTTGAACTTCATTCGTAGTGGGATGTTTTTTATAATAACTTGCAAGAGAATCCTTTTCGGAGTAATTAGTTCAGAATCCTTTTCGGAGTAATTAGTTAAAAATATATTCTTTGAAACCTTATTGGAGTAATTTGTTCAAAATATATTCTTAGTTTTAGTTATGAACACCCATATTTGTTAACCTTAAAAAATGATTGCGTAGCATAGTGGATTAGCGCGTCTGACTTCGGATCAAAAGGTCGTGGGTTTGACAACCACTGTGGTCATCAACAAAAACCTTGAACTTCATTCGTAGTGGGATGTTTTTTATAATAACTTGCAAGAGAATCCTTTTCGGAGTAATTAGTTCAAAATATATTCTTTGTTTTAGATGGTCATATGAACACCCATATTTGTAAACCTTAAAAAATGACTGCATAGCGTAGTGGATTAGCGCATCTGACTTCGAATCAGAAGGTCGTGGGTTAAGCTCCCACTGTGGTCGTTAACCTAAACCTAGCTATCATGGTCGGTCTTGAGTACAACTCCCATTGTGATCGCCTAACCAAAACCTCAAGATCCTTTCCTAAATAATTTTGTGAGTCATATCTCCAAGGAATTATTAAAGATGGTCGGTCTGGAGTACAACTACCATTGTGATCGCCTAACCAAAACCTCAAGATCCTTTCCTAAATAATTTTGTGAGTCATATCTCCAAGGAATTATTAAAGATGGTCGGTCTTGAGTACAACTCCCATTGTGATCGCCTAACCAAAACCCTTTACTCCCGGTGGTCTTAAATAATTTTTCCTTCGCTCAGCAATCAATATAAGCATGGTTGTTTGCTAGCCCGTCCATCCCCAAAATAACATCGAAGTCTGTCATGTCTAATACTATCAATGTTACCTCCAGGCTTTCGGTAGATATTAAAATCTCTCCACCCTTTATGAACGAGTGGGTGGAACCATATTCGAACAATACATAACCAAGGTAGCCAAGGATAGGAAGGGTACTTGTTGTCAGACACACTCATACAAGAAAGAGACAACACTCAGAAAAATAAGCAAAAACCAAGTTCTATTATCTTCTTCAACTTGCTGTACACATATGTAGACAGAAGAAGAAAAAAAACTAAAGACAGAAGAAAAAAAAACTAACTGCTAATAACCTACACAACTGTTAATAACCTACACTAACTTCCCTTGCTATTAGCCACAAATACTAGAATACAAGATTAAACAAACTAACAAATCATCCCCTTAATCTTGTATTTCGATCTTCACATTTTTACATTCTTCAAACCAATTCTTTCTCGAAGCTCCACAAATTTTTGTCGTCCTAATGGCTTCGTAAGTATATCAACCAATTGATCCTCAGTTTTTACATGATCCACTTCAATCTCTCCTTTTTGCACACATTCACGAATGAAATGGAACCTCATGTCTATATGTTTGCTGCGATCATGATGAACTGGATTTTTCGCTAATGCTATAGCAGACTTGTTATCGATATTTAAACGAATTGGATTTACTTCCTTCCCATGCAATTCCTTCAGTAAACGTCCTAACCATATTCCTTGACAAGTAGCTAACGTCGCTGCAATATACTCCGCTTCACAGGACGAAAGTGCCACCATTTTTTGTTTCTTTGAAGTCCATGTAATTGGATTGCCATATAAGAAAAACAATGTTCCCGTAGTGCTCTTTCGATCATCTATATCTCCAGCAAGATCACTATCACTATATCCGATTAAGCGATTTTCTACTTGCTTTGCCTTCACATAATGACATCCAATATCAATAGTTCCTTTCACGTACCTGAGTATCTGCTTCACAGCTGCCATATGAACCATAGTCGGAGCTTCCATATAACGACTCATAACTCCAACGGAATATGATAAGTCAGGTCGTGTGTTCACTAAATAACGAAGATTTCCGATAATACTCTTATAAAGAGTGGAATCAACAGATGTACAATTACTCACTTTGCTTAATTTTGTTTTCGGCTCCATAGGAACATGACACAGATTACAATCCATCATTCCAAGTTTTGCCAAAAGCTTTGCCGCATAACTCGACTGAGATAACCTGATTCCTTCACATGTCTATCAATGTTTTATATAAAATTTATGGCAGAAGACATGAAGCTAACCACCTATGTCCACGTTCCAAGCGATAGTATGAAAATCTGTTTAAGGATTCATGCATTTCAACTAGTATAGTTTAAACCAGCATGTAGGGCTTCATGTGGTCCTTGCGATACAGTATAAACCTATCTACGTAGTCTATAAACCTATCTCCAACGCTTCATATGTACCAAGCAACATAGTTTGAATACCTATTCCCAAAGTTCATGTGTTCCAAGTGGCATAGTCTGACATGTTGGGATCGATACCAGTTGTTAGCTCTGATACCAGTTGTTAGGATCGCACAACAAAGCACACGCTCGATCTAGATGAACACAAAGAACAGGATAGAGAAAATTGCAAGGAGAACTCTGACTAAAAGGATTTTTTATTTTTTATTTTTTATTGATGACTTCAAGGTATGTACAACAAGAGAGAATACAGAGAATAGAAAGTACATTTTCAAAGCTCTACCAGACGGGATATATATATAGTTCAGTTTACTATATATAGCTTTACCAGATTTAACATCTACTATATATAGCTATTTACTATATATAGCTTTACCCGATTTAACCATCTACTATATATAGCTATTTATCATATATAGCTTTACCGGATATAGCTTTACCAAATATAGCCGTTGACCAAGCTATAAATAAGAATCAGGCTCCATAACCTAACAATCCTCCCACTTGGAGACTGATCTAGTCAACCAAGAATTTCACTCTCAAATGACCATGAGCATCTTCACTGCACCATACCAATTGAGGTTTTGCACAACCTCAATATTCCAACATCAACAAATTTTGTCAACATGTTTGCTGGATTCTTTGCAACCTCTATCTTCTCCAAACACGTCACCATCTTCAACTAACCTCCAAGTGAAATGGTATCGCCTTCTGTGTTTTGAATGATAGACCGGGTTCCTCGCCAACAGCATGAGTCTCAGGAGTTTCTTGAGGATCTGCTACAACATCACTATGTGAATCTTTCAGCAACTCAACCTCAACTCCCACTTGCTTCACCTCTGGTTTCTCAGTAAGAGTCTCAGGAGTTTCTTGAGTATCCGCTACAACATCACTATGTGAATCTTTCAGCAACTCAACCTCAACTCCCACTTGCTTCACCTCTAGTTTCTCAGCAATTGTCTCAGGAGTTTCTTGAGTATCCGCTACAACATCACTATGTGAATCTTTCAGCAACTCAACCTCAACTCCCACTTGCTTCACCTCTGGTTTCTCAGCAATTGTCTCAGGAGTTTCTTGAGTATCCGCTACAACATCACTATGTGAATCTTTCAGCAACTCAACCTCAACTCCCACTTGCTTCACCTCTGGTTTCTCAGCAATTGTCTCAGGAGTTTCTTGAGTATCCGCTACAACATCACTATGTGAATCTTTCAGCAACTCAACCTCAACTTCCACTTGCTTCACCTCTGGTTTCTCAGCAAGAGTCTCAGGAGTTTCTTGAGTATCCGCTACAACATCACTATGTGAATCTTTCAGCAACTCAACCTCAACTCCCACTTGCTTCACCTCTGGTTTCTCAGCAAGAGTCTCAGGAGTTTCTTGAGTATCCGCTACAACATCACTATGTGAATCTTTCAGCAACTCAACCTCAACTCCCACTTGCTTCACCTCTGGTTTCTCAGCAAGAGTCTCAGGAGTTTCTTGAGTATCCGCTACAACATCACTATGTGAATCTTTCAGCAACTCAACCTCAACTCCCACTTGCTTCATCTCTGGTTTCTCAGCAATTGTCTCAGGAGTTTCTTGAGTATCCGCTACAACATCACTACATGAATCTTTCAGCAACTCAACCTCAACTCCCACTTGCTTCACCTCTGGTTTCTCAGCATGAGTCTCAGGAGTTTCTTGAGTATCCGCTACAACATCACTATGTGAATCTTTCAGCAACTCAACCTCAACTCCCACTTGCTTCACCTCTGGTTTCTCAACAGGAGTCTCAGGAGTTTCTTGAGTATCCGCTACAACATCACTATGTGAATCTTTCAGCAACTCAACCTCAACTTCCACTTGCTTAACCTCTGGTGTTTCAGCAAGAGTCTCAGAAGTTTCTTGAGTAACCGCTACAACATCACACTGTAAATCTTTGAGCAACTCAACCTCAACTCCCACTTGCTTCACCTCTCGTGTTGCAGCGACGCTTCCGACCGACGCAACCCCCTCTGGAGTTTTAGCGATGCTTCCGGCCGACGCAACCTCATCTAGAGTTTCAGCGATGCTTCCGGCCGACGCAACCCCCTCTAGAGTTTCAGCGACGCTTCCGGCCGACGCAACCCCCTCTAGAGTTTCAGCGACGCTTCCGGCCGACGCAACCCCCTCTAGAGTTTCAGCGACGCTTCCAGCCGACGTAACCCCCTCTGGAGTTTCAACGATTCTTTCGGCCGACGCAACCCCCTCTGAAGTTCCAGCGACGCTTCCGACCGACGCAACTTCCTCTGGAGTTTCAGCGACGCTTCCAGCCAATGCAACTTCCTCTAGAGTTTCAGCGACGCTTCCGGCCGACGTAACTTCCTCTGGAGTTTCAGCGACGATTCTAGCCGACGCAACTTCCTCTAGAGTTTCAGCGACGCTTTCGGCCGACGCAACTTTCTCTAGAGTTTCAGCAACGCTTCCGGCCGACGCAATCCCCTCTGGAGTTTCAGCGACGCTTTCGACCGACGCAACCCCCTCTGGAGTTTCAGCGACGCTTCCGGCCAATGCAACTTCCTCTGGATTTTCAGCGACGTTTCCGGCCGATGGAACCCCCTCTGGAGTTTCAGCGACGCTTCCGGTACTTTTCTTCAATTCTCTAATAGTCTTTGTGAAACTAACTCGTTTCTGTTTGCTCGTAACGCAGTTCTCACAAGGACTCATAACAATCTCCGCATCAAATACACCTTGTTCATAGCCGACGGTTTTTCGTACATATTCGACAGCGTCTTCAACAGACCTGACGTTGTCTTCTCCTTGATAATGTTGAATGCCACGTTTCTAGATAGCGTCAACCGGATCAGCCCCAACGCTTGTCGATCCTTGAGCTTCCACTGCTCCGTGGTCATGGTATCCGGCTTCACCCCCAACAGAGGTTCGTGAAGATCTTTCTGGTACAGATAATCTTCAATCTGCATCTTCCAGAAATCGAAATCGGATCCATCGAACTTCTCAGTTCCAATCTTTGAACTTTTCATCTTCACAAATCGTGGTGACTTCTGCCTAGCTCTGACTTCCGCCTGGCTCTGATACTAGTTGTTGGGATCGATACCAGTTGTTAGCTCTGATACCAGTTGTTAGGATCGCACAACAACGCACACGCTCGATTAGATGAACACAAAAAACATGATAGAGAAAATTGCAAGGAGAGCTCTGGCTAAA